GAGGGAGGAAGATAATCAGACCTAGTGACACAACTTTTTGACAACTGCTGCATTCCTTCAGCAGGACGTATACAGAGACATAACTTTCTACCACAGGCTGATGCAGCCCTGAGTTCCATTTTCCTCTGAAAGAGGGTGCGAGAGGGAGGCAGGTAAAAGACTGGGAGTGAGGAGACAGAGGTGAGACAGAATAGAATAACAGGAGCACATATGCTGGAATCTTTCGTCAATGCAGTCCTTTGACAGTGTAGACTGAGTATTTGCAATTTGCCAGGCACTCTTCTAGGCATATGGGAAGAAAACAGAGAAAGAGTTCTGGCCTCAAGGAGCTTCATTCAAACCTGAACTCAACTCCAGCTTCCACCACTTGATAAATGGGTGGCCTTGGATTAGTTACTTAATCTCCCTATGCTTCATTTTCCTCATCTGTAAAGTGTGAACAAGACTTAGGAGTTCCTGGATGAGAACCAAATAAAAGGATCTCTGAAATGTACCTGATAGAGAGTCTGGCACCTAGTAGGTGTTTAATAAATGAAAATCTTTCCAGTGGCAACTCACATTCCAAAATTTATTTCTTCATACGTAGAAACTGCAATACAATCCTATAGACCAGAAACCAACCATTTACAGGATCTCATTTGGGTAGTTGGAGGGTGTGCACGTAAGGTCCTCAGAAGGTTCAGGAGGGCTGCAGTGTCACTCTTCCTATAGAGAGACAGTACTTCTGGCTCCCTCTATACTTCAGAAGGCACCTAGATATTTTTACATTGCTCCACAATATTGAAGAATAAAACCATACAGAATACTATCCCCATCTTAAGCAATGTAGTCCTTCAAGGCAGGCTTTCCCACGTACTCTCTCTTACAATTATGCCAAAAGCATAAAACCACTTTAAAGAATATATTCAGAGCCAACTATCTGTAATTGACTATCTATTCACATGATTTCTTGTGTATCATAATGTTACTGAAGTTTCCAGTCCCACCTCTGATTGAGTTTGGCCTGACCTTTCTGAGAAGCCGAGACTGCCTTTGAAATAGGATAACTGGGAGAAAGAAAAACGGATTGGGATCTTTGTTTCTGTTTTTCTTTTGCCACCTCCTTTTGGTGACTTCTGTATAGTTAGGACCACTCTGGAGAAGTGAAGGGTAGAGGAAGAAAGAAAAGGAGAGTCCTATCGGCTGATTTTGCTATATGTTACAAGCCTGGTAAAAACATTTGGAGTTAGAGAATATTTATTAAACATGGATGAAATAAAGTTAGAGAATTACTTGTGTGGATTTAATTTCCTCAGACTACTCCCATGGTTCCTTAGCGGGAAATATTCATGAGTCAACTATACAGAACAGTAGTTATTATTCAAGAGACGTGGGCTCAGGAGGAGGTTTGATGCCATAGCAGACCTCACTGACTTCAACTGTACTTCGAGTTGAAGAGCTGAATGATGTCCGAAGGGACTGAAACACATATTGCTTTAGAGTGTGTCAGGAAGACCTGAAAGTTCCCACATGGAAATGAAATTCGTTATTGGCAAGCACGGTGACAGGACACCCCAAAGGACGGAGCCGCAAAGAACTCACAGAGCCCTGTGGCTAACTACATGGCCTAGTTTGATCTTAAAGTCATTGTCCTGGATAATCCTTTCAAATCTGTTCCTGCACTTACGAGCCACTCAACACGTGACTGAGCTCTCCCTCTCAGGTTCTTTTACACTGACCTGTCAGAGGAGACTTTCAGCAAACCCAGATATCATGTCAAATCATCCAACAGATGTCCCTTGCAAATGCACTGGAGCAGAACCAACTATATGGAGAATTCATAAACAAGGAGACACTCACCCAAGGATTTTCAAAGGATTGGCATAGCTCTTTGTACAGAGAATTCAGTCTCTTGGGTGGAACACGAGCGATCCAGAGGGAATGAGCAACAGAAAATCGACTCTTGCCCCAAATGGGGCTTACGCTGCCTTACATGAGAGGCAGAAGGATATTTTAGAGCCTAAACTCTTCATCATCTCAATAAAGTAGTCTTCAATTCCATAGCTCTAAGAAGTAACAAATTTTAACAACTGGGATAAAAGGATTTAGGAGAGAGAAACCCAACATTCAGCCCCATTTCAGTCAGTGGCTTTCTCACCATATTGGGAAGGGGTGGGCCAGAACCGTCTGATCTGTTTCTGATTTCCCTGTTCACTGGCATCAGAGGATTTTACTGCAGGAAAACTAATATCTGACTGGGCTCCAAGTGCCAAATAAGAGCACTCCATGTTGATTCCAGGCCACCAAAGGGTTTGGGGTCACCGAGTCACAGGCTGTGAATGTGAATACTTGATGATTTTTACAGGTGACTGGGTGAACAAAGGAAAACCCAGGAGATACACAAAGGTGGAAACTAGAAATTTCTCATTTGAATTATTTAACATATCTCACTCTGATGGTTCTGAATATAAAAGAACCACAGACCCTTCAAAAGAAGTTACTGAGTTTAGGTTTCTGGCCCACATGAGCAGTGGAAGTATGCTCACTAAGATTTACAAGACACTTCGAGGCACCAGGGAAATGGTCAATTTATTGGCAGGATATTTTTGTTGTTATTGTTTTTACTGTTCAAATGGGCAGGCAATGAATCCTATTTAAAAAATCAAAATGCCAATTAAACACTGTCTACTTCTGACTTAATTTTATTCTAGCAACAGCCCAGAATTTTTTGAAAACCTCCTATGTGTCAGGCACTATATAAGGCATTAGGAATATAATAATCAATAAGGCACTGTCCCTTACTTCAAGGAATCTTCATCGTTTGAACAATTTTATTACTTATATATATATTGAAATTACCAGAGCATTTAGCTCAAACCAAGGACTCAGATTAAACTTTGTAAAGGAGACCTTGGCTGAAATGAGTCTTAAAGGATATAGAGATAAGTGTATACACTTTTTTTTTTTTTTTTTTTTTTTTTTTTTTTTTTTTTTTTTTTTTTTTTTTTTTTTTTTTTTTCCTTGCGTTATGCGGCCCTCTCCCTGTTGTGGCCTCTCCCGTTGCAGAGCACAGGCTCCGGACGCGCAGGGTCAGCGGCCATGGCTCACGGGCCCAGCCGCTCCGCGGCATGTGGGATCTTCCCGAAACGGGGCACGAACCCGCGTCTCCTGCATCGGCAGGCGGACTCTCAAGCACTGCGCCACCAGGGAAGCCCAAGTGTATACACTTTTAATGGTGGTGGTTTTATAAGAAGAGAAAGAAAAAGAAATCTCCCCCCACCACCACCCCCTCTTGCTCTCTTCTCTCTCCCTACCATGTTAGGACACAGCAAAAAGATGGCTATCTGCAAGCCAGGAAGAGAGCTCTTATCAGAAACTGACCATGACGACACCCTGATCTCAGACTTCCAGCCTCCAGAACTGTAGAAAAACTGACTTCTGTTGTCAAGCCCCCCAGTCTGTGGTGTTTTGTTATGGCAGCCCAAGCAGACTAATAAAGCAGGTAGCACCATTTTATAGGAACAGCATAGGAGATTTAAAGGGGTCATTAGAGTGAGTAAAGTTGGTTATTCCAGGGGTTTACTTGCTAAATCCTAGTGTATAGCTCCAACCACCATGGGATATAGTGTACTTTCCCACGGGTACGCCATAGCCTACTATTCCAACAGTATCAGGGAATAAAGGCAGAGCAAATTCAGGGGGTGCAATAGTCCTATACTGGGCAAGTGGACACGACCTCTGTGGTTAGGGGTGTGGCACAACATCTGTCACTGACACGTAAGTGCCAATCCTGCTTATTCCTTTCCTTGGGAATGGCCACAGATGTTTCCATAACTGGTGTGTTTACTTCCCCTGTGTGGTTCGCCCAGGCACATCACATGCAGTGTTCTCACCGAGTCATCAACTTTTCAATTCAGGTAAAGTAAGTAGAAAAACGAGACAACTGCCCAGATAATTTGATTCTGTGGAGAAACGATATTAATTGGTTGCTTCTAGGGTGTTTGTGTATTTGGCAGGGAGTGGGGAAATTATCAAATGCTGGAGACTGCATGTTTCTCAAAACTTTTATAAATTTGGAATTCTTTCACTCCTTTTTATGTTGTTCATGAGAATTAGAATCAAGACAGGATAATGTGCATTATATTCCCTGAACGATAGATTGTCAGGCTGAGGCCTGAAAGGTAAAGCAATATGGTAGCAATGAACATATTACTAGAGCTCGAACATCCCTACTAAATTCACAACCTCAAATCAAGTCCTTAACCTATCACTCTCATGCAGTCTACCAACAATTTTTATTATCTAACTTTTTTCATGAATCTGGCGAAAAGTACTAGCAATTGTTTAACTTTGTCATGTGATCTGCATTTCTAATATACTACTAGCTTGTGGTTAATCAGGAAATTCAGAGACCTTTGTCTTTAAATCATGTTATCAGAATATAACCTTCCAGGGCTTCCTTGGTGGCGCAGTGGTTGAGAGTCCGCCTGCCGATGCAGGGGACACGGGTTCGTGCCCCGGTCCGGGAAGATCCCACATGCCGAAG